GGTCTTTATACCAACACCGCTATTATACTCCTGTGAAAGTGTCTAAACACACTACAGTAATGTGTTTAGAGCAATGACTTTGAGAGATACTGTACACGAAATGTTGGAAAGCCGATGCTAATGTGATTGAGATGGCTACCAAGCAAGTGAAATGGGGATTTGTTTTTTATCTGAATGTCAAATATTATTCCAACAAAGAGTAATAATAATAATAATAATAATAATAATAATAATAATAATAATAATAATAATAATAATAATAATAGTAATAATAATAATTCTTGATATTCCTCATTTTATTCAGATGAAATAATGAAATAGGTACTTGGCAACTGTTTAACGATGATTTTGAAATACTTTCAATAAGATAATTCAGAAATAATTGGAGGTCTTCGTTTTATAGACACCCATAGGGTGTCTAAAAAATGTCGTAATTTTGATTGTGTATTTATTATCAAAATAAAAGAAAAAAAAATAGGGGTCTTCGTCTTTGGGTCTTCGGCCTTCGTTTTATAGACACCCCTCCTTAGGTGGAAAATTCTTAGGCCTAACATTGATGACATGCGTACATGAGTAGACCTTATTTTCAAGAAAAGTTAGTACTGTAACTATAGGCCTATCGATATAACAACCATCAGCAGCATACGTGTTATTCACTTTGTTTCGTTCGATTATTACGTCTTTTGTTTGTATTGTTTCAACATGGAAGTAAAAATAACTGTCCACAGTATTGACTATTGTCAAATCGTTGAATATTATTTTTTTTATTTCAAACAGTCGTCCAACAGGAACGCTTTGTTCCCACTTACAGGCGAAAATAGCAAAAATAAAAAATAAAATCGAAAGTAGTATAGGTAAGCATCGTTGGCATCGTTAAAACTATTGTCAGTTACTTTCGATTAAATCGCCATTTCTGGGCCGTAATCTCATTATTTATCGTTATCCTAATTAGGCCTATTACTATCATGTGACGTACCGGTATGTCAAGGTGCTTACAACCCCGTAATCTTTTTTAAGTCAATTTTTCCGCACTATCATGTGATTGTTCGTATTCGTCATGAACACCTTCGGTAATCAGTGTAGTCGCTTCAAATCATTCGCACTCATTCAAAGTATAGTTATCAAATAATCGAGTATCTAGTAGTGAACAACTTTGGCAAGGCGCAGTTCATCTCCGATTGGTAAGAAGACAATACATTATTTTTCTTTAATTCCTACGTAGGCTATTCTCTAATCTTAACATTCTACGATGTTCCTTTGTAATTGGATTTTAGTTTTTTCTTTCATTAAGTTTAGACATTTTTAAGTATAGTTTATTCTCCATGATTGTATTTTTTTACACAAAAAAAACAACATCTGATTTGTATATATTATCTACTTGCACCAACTAAAAAATGTCAATGTAATTTTAAACGATTAATCGAACACAGGCCTGCCTATAATATTTCAAACATAGTTTTCTATGCGTCTATATACTTACGATTATTAATAGGCGTAGGCCTCAATTTTCAACGAATTTTTCTTACCCTTTTTGCCACTGAGTGAAGTATCCTTGAAAGAGTGTCAAGTAAGTTTTCTTATTCGAACCACAAAGAGCCTATTCACAAGTTAATTTGCATTACTACAAAAGAGAGAGAATAACATCTATTCTCCTCGAGTGAACTCATCATTTTCCTTGGTTCAAGTTGAAAGTTTGACCCTTAAAGTATCGGGTTGAGTACCTTTTTTCATTGATAATAGAATGCGTGTTTGTGTCTCCGAATAATAATTAGGCCTACCCTTTTTTTTTTTTTTTTTTTTAATAAAAAGGAGAATGTGTGTTTAACAGCAAGGGACTAGACTGATACCGACACTTGCACACCAATAATTGTCAGGTTAAATTCAATAATGTTCTTTCATAATTGTTTCACGTTACGTCGTTAGTACGGTATGTATTTAGGCCCTACCGTATGCAATGCCACTCTTTCTGACGTGTCTACTTCACCAACTAAAAAATGTCAATATAATTTTAAACGAATTATCGAGTACAGGTCTACCTATAATATTTTAGACATAGTTTTCTGTATGCGTCGAAATAGACTTACGATTATTATAGGCTTAGAATTTCAAAGAATTTTTCTTAACATTTTTGAAGTGAAGTATCCTTGAACGAGTGATATAATAGATGTAAGTTTTTTTTTCGAACCACAAAGAGCCTATTCACAGGTTAGTTGCATCAGGGAGATGTTGGGACCTCTGGCTCACTGAGTCAATCTATGACTCAGTGAGCCAGAATTCCCAACATCTCTAATCTATTAGAGGCAATTGCTTCTTCAGAAGTCCCAGGGCTTTTGTGTCTAATAAATAAATGAAATGAAATATAAACATCTCCCTGGTTGCATCATAGTGAAAATTTGTTCACGTCGATTAAATTCAACTAACACACACTCATCATGTTCTTTGTATAGTTGAGGGTTTGACCCTGAAAGTATCTGGTTGAATTGAACTTTTGATTATACTGCTTTAATTTCTATCAGGCTATTATTTGTGAAGGTGTTTAAAGTTCAATTCCATTGTAGCTAATAACCACGATTATTCTTTGATAATGGAATGCGTGTTGGTGTCTTCGAATAATAATTAGGCCTACTTTTTTTTTTTATAAAGAAGAGAAGATCTGTCAAACCTAGACCGCTATTACTTGCACACTAATACCGTTGATATTCCACCCGTACCGATACTCTTATCAGGTTAAATTTATTGTTTCATGATTGTTTCACGTTAGTATGTCTTTAGGCTCTTTTTTTCTGCCTGTTAAATTGTATTTTCGTCTTGGTTTGTTTGTGAACATTAATATTCGTAGATGTCACATGAATTTTCTTTCTTGCTTTTCCTAAGACCTGTATTCTGTTACCGTTGACTACATGCTTTGATTGAATACTTTTTAGGTCCACATTGTTTGAACAGGGTCACGTATACGGGAGAAATGGAGGGGACTTGGGGTGCGAAGAGGTAGTGGGAGATGTGGGTGTGTGGGGTGATACGTGAAGGGAGTTCTAGCTCGCAAAATAAGGTCATAGTGATTTTTAATTATTTTGGCGTGATTTTTTTTAGTTTCGAGCGTTTTAAATGCACTCTTCCGCCCTCCCCCTCCACCACACCCGTACATACGCCACTAGAGCTTCCGGCTCCCCAATGGTGGGTGAATAGCAAAGATCTTATAAACACAAGATAGCGTTCTCCGCGATTTACGTGTGCAAATTCTGTAATAAGGCATGAATGGCGCCCTCTTGCTAAATTGGAAACTTTTGACCCTTGACCACCCTGACCATACCGTACACCGCGCGACTTTACCTTTAGGGTATCAATCCTGTGAACAGCTGAACAGGAACAATCTCAGATCCATGGCAACCGATAGGACGCCCTCTTCCAAAACTGATTACTTTTTCTCATAGAGATATATAATAAGAATACTAGAGCGCTAACCGCAATGTATTCGATGTTCGAAATACGCAGAACTGTGTGTGTGTACCATCCGAGATGACTGCCATAAATTTAGCCAATCAAATTTCGCTAAGCACCGTCATTTGCAATTGCGCCCTCAATTTACTCAGAAAGTTCAGTACAGCTAGTTACTCGTATGTTTGAAACTCGAGCGTTGCGGTGTTTGGGTGTAATGTATACGATTTTAATTTTCATTCCTTGGTACTTATTTTAGAATAGATTGTCCACTTGCCTCGTTTTGGCTACAATAGTTTAATAATTTGTTATTACCATTACTCATTATCATTAATGAAATAATAGTCAGTCAGATGGCTTTTGATGGTAATATTATGTATACTAAGCCTGAAGGTGGCGCTTTACTACGACGGCCATCTTGGATGGTACCATAGAGATATAATAAGAATACTAGAGCGCTAACAGCAATGTATTCGATGTTCGAAATACGCAGAGCTGTGTGTGTGTACCATCCAAGATGGCTGCCATAGATTCAGCCAATCAAATTTCCCCCTGAGCATTATCATTTTCAATTGCGCCCTCAATTTACACAGAAAGTTCAGTACAGCTAGCTACCCGTATTTTGAAACTCGAGCGTTGCGGTGTATGGGTGTAATGTACATTTTAATTCTTTTTAATATTTGAATAAGATGCTCTACTTGGCCTCTTTTTGGATACGACAGTTTAATAATTTGTCATTATCAATACTAATTATCATTAATGAAATAATATTCAGTCAGAGGGCTTATTTATGGTAATAATATGTATACTAAGCCTGAAGGTGGCGCTTTCCTACGGCAGCCATCTTGGATGGTACACATGCACAACTCTGCATTGCTCCGCCATCTTGTCAGCACTCTGAGTTGTTTAATAGCTCTATGGATGGTACGCATACATAACTCTGCATTACTGCGCCATCTTGTCAGCACTCTAGTTGTTTAATAGCTCTATGCTTTTTCTCTTTGGCATAAAGCGCATGAATGGCGCCCTCTTGCTAAATTGGAAACTTTTGAACCTTGACCCACGCTTCTATTTGTTACGCGTAAATCGCGGAGAACGCTATCTTGTGTTTATAAGATCTTTGGTGAATAGACATCAGTCGTTGTAGAAATTTTGCCGACTAGAGATTAGACAAAAATATTAGGGATTGGCAATTAAAATAACGTATTGGATAAGCAAATTCACATTTCTGGTCCGAAAACCTCAAGGCCTGTCTGACGGGGTGGGGGGGGGTGGTGGTGGTGGTGTGAGGATTCCCCTCTTCCCGGCTCCCTTGGCGCCACCACTGGTGCTACGGCATTTTATGTATTTAGGTATCTAATGTGGAAGGAAGACGTTCTTATCACCCTTTTTATTTAGGATCTTTCCAATTTTTTCCGCGCGCTATCTATCTCCCGCGTAGTCGTGTGAATGTTGACAGAGGAAAGATCGAAGCAAGATAACAAAAAAAATAATATGCAACAAAATATAATTCTGTATGATCATTTTACAATTGAATTTGAGTTGTAAATTTAGCATTTGGTCGATGGGCCGCCACTGAGTGATGTTAACTAAAAGTAGGTAACATCAGTTCCTTTTGACATTTAAACTATAAAATGAATCTAAATTATTATTAATATTAGTGGGATGAAGTTTGGGATTTCCCTTGTTTTTTAAGCTTATCTCTCCCACGTAGTCGTTTGAGTTATTCTGGTACAGAGGAAAGACATACGCAGGATAACAATCATAGAAGGAAAACTCGGTATGGTTGTCGTTTCTTTAAAGTCAAGTCAATACCTTTACTCAGACACAAACAATATAGTATTCAATCATTTTACAGTCGAATTTGGGTTATAAATTTAGACTGTGGTCGATGAGCCGCCACTGAGTGGCCGACTATATGTTTAGGTCATGGAACGTCGGTAGAGCAGTCATGTCGTGTGGGTTTTGTAGGCCTATGTTTACTCGCATTAGAAGAAGTCAAATTATATTCACTAGACTTTACGCAGTTCTGTTGTCCTTTACTGTATTCCATTAAACAAAAGTTAAGTCTATTTTCAATCTCTCTTCTTGATCTAATAATTTTCTATAAAATTCTCTTCTGTTCTAATTCTTCTCTATTTTAATCATTCTTCTAATCTCCTTCTAATCAATCCTCTAATTTCATTTTCTGTGTGGGACCAAATGGAGGAGCTATGTCAATTCCAATAAATAGTAAATGATGTATTAGCTCATCAACTACCTATTTGAGACTTATCAACTACCTGGTTGAATAACCTTAAGTTTCTTCCTGTAGTTGACATGGTAGGGCTGTAAAGTACTATTTGGTACCAATGTGGTTTCCCGGTGGAATTTATAAATAATAATAATAATGATAATGATAATACTAAATGTAATAATAATAATAATAATGATAATAATGATAATAATGATAATGATGATAATAATAATGATAATAATAATAAATATAATAATAATATATATATCAATAATAATAAATATAATAATAATAATAATAATAAATATAATAATAATAATAATAAATATAATGTTACTAAAATCTACCTTAAGGGGAACTTAGACAATGGAGAAATTAGACAACAATTTAAAAAAACGAAGTTCAGGGGAAAATAACACAAAAAGATATCCCATTAAGTCCGATTTAGTGCTATTCTTATAATTAATTAATAAATAATAATAATAATAATAATAATAATAATAATAATAATAATAGTAATAATAGTAATAATAGTAATAATAGTAATAATAATAATAATAATAATAATAAATAATAACAATAACAATAACAATAACAATAATAATAATAATAAATAATAATAATAATAATTATTATTATTATTATAAATAATAATAATAAATTGGAGAATGTGTATAGCATATATTCGAAAACTGTCCTCTTAATATGGGTGTTCCCTGAATAGGGGTGCCCCTATTCAGGGGACACTAACAAAAACGAAAAAAATCGTCCCCTTAATAGGGGTTTTGACATGTTTTGGTACAATGACACATGCAGTAGGCCTATACCGATGTTCACCTTGGCAGAAAATTCTGGTTTGATGTTAAGTTTCTCAAAAGTTGAATGATTTTTATTTTTATTTTGGGACTGCTGTTTTAGTTGTTACAATAAAACAAATTAAGTGTCCCATTAATAGGAGTTTGATAAGTATTGATTTGACCATTCGGCACACACAAATAGTCTCCCCGTCCCCTGAATAGAGGTGTTCCCTTAATGGGGGATTGGTCGTAGTGTTAAAAAATATTTCCCTTCGTTTCACGGAAAACCGTCCCCTTAGTAGGGGTATCCCAAAGGAGGGGTTCTACTGTATAATAAGAATTATTGATTAAGGAGATAAGTTTTAAAAAGGGTCTTGAATTCATCCGTATCAGAAGTTGCTCGAGGAGCGAAAAAAAAAAGAAAAGTGTATGTACTGTTGTTTATAAACCAAAATTGCATAAAAAACCGAAAACGTATGTCTAAATATTATGTTACTACAAGCAGGTAACTTTATTCCCTTTGACATTTGAATTTTAACATGAATGTATATTAATAACGTTGAGGGGTAAAGATTGGGATTTTCCCTTGTTTTTCCGCCAACTGTCTCGCGTAGTCTGAATGTTGGCAAGGAAAGAAAGATAGAATAAATATCATACAACAAAATATAACTCGGTATGGTTGAACTCGGATGGTTGTCGTTAATTCTTTAAAATCATTCTTTTCAATGTGGATTATGAATGTTTTAAAAAGTGTTCATGTATTTAATGAAAAAAAGACAATGCCTTTTAATAAACGTAGCTAATGTTATTAGGCCTATAATATAGACAAGTAATTGTTTCAATAAAGGATAATGTTATTTCTTTTACTTTAGGCCAAATTATACCCTAGAAACAGGGGCAGATTCAATGGAAAGGGCAGCCGGCCTAGGCCCTCTAGTATTTAATAAAAAATCAAAAAGTCTGAGAGTGTCCTTTCCAACCACGTAGAAGTGTCATTATGACAGAGGTGGCCTGAACACCCCCATCTGTAAAAGTTCCTCCCTTGGCCCCTGTTATTTCGAGTTCGTGGATTCGCCACTAAAGTGCACATGGTAGCAATGTTCATTTGATCAATCAATGGTCACTCCAGTCTTATTTTTTTTGCCATTGTTAGCCTTTTTGTATTTGTAATATTTTTTAATGCGGTAATTGAGTACACACGTATATTCGCCCTTGATTGGAGGTTTGCATTAAAGTACTGTTTTATGACGTCACCTGACAGTGTATACCGTAAACTTCATTTTTACCATGTACACCGATGTGTTTTATGGAATTGAATCAGTTATCATTGCTGAATCGAATTAATACTGTTACCTTGATGTTGTCCTTAAACTTGATCGTGGCCACCGATTGATTGTCGTTAAGTGAGTTGTCACACTGTATTAATCGTTTGCGGTTAAAGAGCTTTGTTTATATCCTGGGACGTGCCATTCTGGAAATCTCCCCCTCTCCAAATCGAATCCCACTGTATGTCTATTACTTAGAAAAAAGGAAGCGATGCTTTGTGTTCATCAGGGTCAATACAGAATCCTGTATTTGTTATTAATTTTTAAAAAATGAATAACGATGAATGCTTTTCTGTTTACTGGATACGTTTTTCTAAAATTGTAATTAATTTAACTGATATGAATATAATATTCATTTTGAGATATTTAAAAATGGATATGTATCCATAAAGACACCTTGTGTCTATCAGAAATAACATTGCATTTTAATTAATGTTTGCAAATGATTTTATTACATTAATTTAATTTGAAAAATTTGTTGTTACCTTTATTTAAAATTTGTAACGAAATTTCTCCCCTCTGTTGTAAGAGCCCTATGGGGTGGTCAGCCAAATTAATGGAACAGTGCCAATTGAGTTTTGATTGGCCCGTATGTGGTAGGTAATCGAAGGGATATGTCCAATCACCCCACTACGAGGAGAGGGAAGTTCAGTTGGTTCCTAGACATCCCTGAAACTAGTGCTTACACCGAGTCGAAAATTGTCCATCTCAACCCATATGAAGTATTGATGACTGGAAGAAGACTTAAATAAACACTGAATCTCATTTGCACCGCGTGATATATATTTGTGTCCGAGTTACTTAATCCGGTCTATGTATTAATTGAAGTCGGTGTTGTACAGCTGCCGCCGGACCCCGACGCTTCTCACAGGCCTGATTGTCCTGGCAGATGTAGGATAGGTGAAACGTTACATTATTCATCATTATTATCATTCTACGTTTTAGGTTTGAACATAGACTAAAGTGAGTGAAGGCCCCATCAGAAGTTTCGTACAAAATGTCAGGCAACGTAAGTGACTCATTTAAACAATGCATATTGGGTTTTTTTTATAATTATTATTATATGCTTTGACCATTTTCTATGTGCTATGTGTAATATTTATCACATTTATGTCGAATTTATTCCATTACCATCATCATGATAATTATCATGAATCAATTATTAATATTAGGTCTATTAGGGCCTATTAATATAAATGACGTTTGGGCCTACCTGACGTGTTATCGTACTGTACGTTTCAGATTCAGGTGGGAATCGAACCCACGACCTCTGGATAACTAACCCGGTGTCTTAACCACTAGACTTAGTGACTAGTGTTGAATCCGATCCCCAAGTAGTAGCGTGTAGGCCTACTGCAATGCTATTCCGAATATCATCATCATCATCGCCAGACATCATCATCATTATTATTATCACTATCACCATCATTATGATCATCATCTTAATATTCACCACACATCATTATTGTCGTCCTGGTCATCGTCAATATTATCATAAGTTTTTATTTTTATTGTTAGGGTAATCATTTCGTTACAGCTAATTCTTTGTTGTTTTGTTTGTTGTTGTAAGGTAACTTTAAAGACTTTGCTACATTATTGACGTGTTTCTCACCACTTACTTTTTAGTCCTATATGGAATAAATCGAGAAATTATTTCGATTACGTCATTAAAGCTAATTGCGTAATGTAATGACTACACCTGATGAAGCCAACATAGACTGCTGATGAAGTTTTGTCTATTAAATAATTTAAGTTAGTCTATTAAGTGCTACCAGTGTTTTTATTCTACCAGAATAACACGGCTCCATCTACGATTATAGTAACTAAATCAATAACATTTAAATAATTTAATTGATAATTGATTGCTAACACATAAGGGCCTTATTGTGAAATTTAAAAAAAAAAAAATTTTTAAATAATTATTTAAATTTATTACCAATTAATAAGGGACTATGTTTGTTATTTGGCGAGGAAAAATATTTTCTTTTCATTTACAGTAAAAGCTAATAAATTAAGGACCTTTCCGAAGTGTCAATCACACAAATGACCAATCAGACCATCGCTAATAATATACGTTTGTCCAACCACAGACCCTATATAAACAAACAACCGTTTAAGTTATCTTGTTTTGGGACCTTAGCAACTTTAGGCGGGGCTTAGTGAAAAGTTCCATCAAAACCAATTTAAATAGCGAATAGGCTTCCTCCTGTGTATTGAATATTCTATATACTGAATATACTCAGATACTGGCTAAATACAAACAATATAATATTTGTGATAAATCTACAGCTGGACTTACGCTTCATTATTTCCACTATTGTTACTGTAATATCATAATTCAAATGGTCTAATGTAATAAAATAGCAGAATACCTAATATTTTACGAGGAGCAATATTTATACCACGTTGTTATCAGTGTCTCTTGTAAACCTTTTATTTTTGAAATCACTACCTGCAAAATCATAAAGGTCAACAGCGTATTGTGAATGGGAATGGGAATTAAAAAGGCGATGAGCTGCAGTGAGTAAAAACCATGTCGTATGACTCGACGAAGATTTCACGGCCTTACAAGAAGTACGGTAGTTTGACGGAATCAGGGCCTGCTTCCAGCAGCATAGTAAGTTCAGGCTGACCATAAAGTTCCATACTTGAAAATGTGGTTTGATTTTTCAAGGTGACTAATAAGTGTCAGTAATTCAGTCAGGTAAACGACACTTACGTGAAAATGTGTATTTGTATTAACAGGGAAACATTGAACTGACCAAGTACAATCCAAATGTAAATGGTTCACACGTCAATGAAGGGTTTATTGAAGGTGAACCTCAGACCAAGCCACCAGTTAATCCCTCACCTACTATCTCCGCTGCGTATGCACCTCCTCAGCACAATGTTGATGACGTAGTTATCGAAACTATACCAAAAGCAACCGAGAACCCGGACCCGCCGTCACGGGGATTTTGGACGGTAAGATATATATTCTTCCTGTGTACTAATATAGGCCTAGTTGTTCTTTTTGCTGCCACTGTCACTGTCAGGCCCGGGGTCAGCAGTGAACATCGGGAACGGGAAGTTTCCCTGTACCGTACTACATGCCTATCTGATTATGCACCGACCCTAAATATAAGCTCGTTTATTGAGTAATTCCTCCCATCTTTAATCCTTAATTATATATATATATACTGTCTCTTATACACATCTAGATGTGTATAAGAGACAGCCNNTACTGTAAAATATTTTCAATTTCTTATTAGTCAGTCGACGAGGCGAAGGTTGTCGTGGGCAATTTTTACACAGAAAACAGGAAGCCAACACTCTGGACAATCGCCGCAATATGTGTGGTTGCTTATATTGCATACTTCGTAAAAGCACTGTCATACGACTACGACGAAGCGGAGATTCTTATTGTTTTCACGTGTATTGCAGTGGTCATTGTGATCTATGTAGTAGTTCGAGATAACTTCGGGACAAAGATTGAAGAACGTGTACTTAAACCCGCTTCTGAGAAGATTGATGATAATTGGGGTCATATCAAATGGTAAATTGTGCAATTCTATTATTTTGACTTTGAACTATATGCAAATTCTAAAACAGTACCAGTGGCAACACCAGCGGGGGATCAGAGAAAGTTAACCCCTCCTGCCTGACAGGCATGCTCCGTCATCCGACGCTACGTTCGTCAGACTACCGTATTAATTTGCTATTGCAATTATTGTCAGTCTCTGATATTGTAGTGAATAAACACAGTTGTGTGTCTTGCTAAACCATAAAACCCATCTGCCAGGGATTTTATTCCAATACATTGACCGAGGGTCTAGACGGGTTTAATAGTTCCGGCTCCCTTTTGAACTAGTGGAACCCTCCTCGCCATATTTCTGAAGCCACCACTGGTGCATACTCAAACTATTTGGAAGTGTGGACCTCTTAAATCAAACTTAACAACTGACCAATCACAACACTCAAAGCTATAAATACGCACATGTCCCACAAACACACATCGTTGACATAATATGTTCATGCTGTCGTTTTGTGAGATATTGGAAACAATATCCAAAGGGGTAGGCTAACGGGTCGGAAAAGGCTAGCTCACGATTTTACCTGTATATGTTTCAGCACTATTGTGACCCTAGATTCTGTTATTTAGGATAATACATTGTTTGTAATTATTCTAAGCCGTTGTATCAACTTACATATCATTTACATTATTTTAGGCCTCTGTATATTTTGATCGTGGTTGCACTCATTATTGTGTTGGTGCTGTTGACAATAGACTCACCGGAAAACCTTATTTCTCTCGCTGGACTGGCTATCTTCGTACTTTTTACCTACGTATTTTCCAAGCATCCTGGTGAAGTAAGAATATTTTAAATTCTTTTAGTACAATTTAAATGGCCTACGTATTATAATATAAAATATCTGTATTTCCAGAACTGCAAACCCCCTAACCACATAAAAAAGCACCGAACCAATTATTACAACAGTAAATTTAATCAATAAAGTAAAATGTTAAAACGATTGAATGATAAAGTTCAGTTTTCTGAACATGACGAAAGTTCATGGAAGTTTATTTATGTTGGTCACTATAACACTCGTTTGACTTAACTTATAAAGCGGTGAGAACTTTTTAATGTCAAAATCAAAGAATCCAATTCTCTTCCTGAACAATAATCCACATCATCTCTCCAGTATTCAAAGAGGAAGTAAACACCCACCAAGAACAAGTGAAATAGCAGCATTCTGCGCACTCACAGTCCTTTGCGCTTGGCTTCAAAATAAATCTATAAAAGAAAGGGTCTAAGTCGGACAGTTGTTTATTGATTGCACTATTTTGAACTTTCCAGGTAAAATGGCGTCCTGTGTTATGGGGTCTGATGCTTCAGTTTCTGCTCGGGCTGTTTGTACTTCGCACTAATATAGGCTTCGAGATTTTTGAATGGCTTGGAGACAAGGCTACTTTATTCCTTGAGTTCACAGATGCTGGCTCTAAATTCCTTTTCGGTGAACTGTACACAAACCATTTCTTTGCTTTTAAGGTAGGATTAAAAAAAATCGAAATTGTTGTATACAAATAATGAATGAGTAATTTATAGCAGAATATTAAAAGCACCTTACCATGACAACAATATCTTTTGTGGTTTATTTATTCACAATCAACAGTGTGTGGGCTGCAGTGGAAATAAACTAAAGTACACTAGTACTTTAGAAGGGGCTCGAAAAGAGGTTTGATTTTAGTCGTAATAATTATATGATAAAACATATAGATTGAATCACTACCCTGGAATTGGAGGGCCAGTAGACTGCCACAAAACCAAGTTTTTTGAGAAGATATTTATAAATTTCTTAATGTGTACGAATTAATACTTAGAGAACATTTTGGTAGTTAATTCACGATATAACGCTGTTGATACCGTAATTGTATTGGATATAATCAACGACCCATGGTTTTGGTTCGAATCCTGATGGGAACAATATATAGCTTTTATTATCTATCTACGGGACTGCAATTCATATACTATTTGTGCACTCTATCGTCTTCCTTTTCCGTTAAGCTGCCGTCTTCATCTTTTGAAGATTCTACAGCTGTCTGGTGGTGATTTGGCAGGACTGTCGACAGTTATTATTCTTACTTTGATCTTTTCCTTTATTTAGGTTCTTCCAGTGGTCATCTTTTTCAGTAGCGTCATCTCCATTTTGTACTATATTGGACTCATGCAGTTATTCATTGAGAAAATCGCATGGCTTATGCAATTTACGATGAAAACCTCAGCAGGGGAATCATTGAATGCAGCCGGAAACATATTCATTGGACAGGTACACTGTCAATTCAAATATGATGCCATTTTAATTTGAAAATGTTAACCTTCCGCATTCCTCAATAAAAACTTACAATTTTCTAATTTATTGAAACGCATTGATTATATTACAGTGTCTTTGAACACCATAACGAGAAAATGTTACTGAGTATTGTAAATGCTTGCTTTCCCCAGACCGAGGCTCCACTGATGGTACGCCCATTCCTGAAGAACATGACGCTGTCAGAGATCCATGCCATCATGACTGGGGGGTTCGCAACCATTGCTGGCAGCGTCCTCGGAGCCTACATCTCATTTGGAGTGGACGCATCACATCTCATCAGTGCGTCTGTGATGTCGGCACCAGCTGCCTTAGCTATGTCCAAATTATTCTGGCCTGAAACTGAAGAATCTAAAATGGTCACTGTAGAACAGGTTAAGCTACCAAAGGGGTAAGTAGACCCAGTAGAGTTTAAAAATTTTTAAAGTGTCTGTAGTAAAATCTAGAAAACACCTAAAACATTTAATTGAAACATTGAATTGCTCAATACCAGCCAATAACTGCCCTTCCAATTGCCGAGTCTGTGACCCTGGATTAATTATCCATAAATACTGTAGCTATAAAGGGTGCTGTGTGTTTGAAGCAGCACCATCATCGTTTGTACGATTAAGTAACTACAAAGCAATTTCGAAAAAAATGAATGTTATTTTCTTTTATTTTAGTTTAACACAAACTATAAACACCAATCATTATGTTTAGTTTACATTCTGTTGACAATGAAATCATACAGATGCAGTCATATTACATATATTTAGCTGTGGAGAAACACTAGGTATTCTTAATTGTTTATTTGTTTATATTGTTTCAGCGAAGAACGAAATGTCGTGGAGGCTGCTTCAGTCGGTGCTTCAGCTGCAGTTTCTCTTGTTGCAAACATCGCGGCAAATCTGATAGCGTTCTTAGCAATCTTAGCCTTCTTCAACGCCATGCTCACTTGGCTTGGCGGTCTTGTGGGAATTGAAGATCTCACATTTGAAGTATATTTTTATGATTGTTTTCTTTTGTTCATTTTCTTTTCATTTCATTTATTTATTCGACCATAAACAATAAAAAGCAAAATAATATTGAGAAACAACAAAACGATGGTCAGGGACAGCTAAAACAAATAAATTACTCTAACTCAAAAGAGTCAGCTGCCCCTTAAACATGAAGTAACATGAATATTGCACACAATAGAAAAGGTAATACAAATATATAAAAAGGCCTAAACAACAAACAGAATTAATTATTAATCTATATTGCAAATTAACAACGTTTCTTTAACTACAACAAAAATGTTGTTGTAGTCTTAAATTAACAACGTTAGCGAAAAAGAAACTTTGAGTTGTGATAACTCATCCTAAAACATTTATATCTTTCCAGTTGATCTGTTCATACGTATTTATGCCGGTGGCGTTCATAATGGGAGTGGAATGGGAAGATTGTCGCGAGGTTGCAGAATTGATTGGACTCAAGACTTTCCTGAATGAATTCGTAGCATATATCAGACTGGGAGAATTCATAGACAACGGTCAAATATCAGTAAGTTTTGCTTAACTTTCATTTTTAATATTGCATTGAGCATTGTTTCAACCTCAACCATTCACAAAACGCGTTGATTATTAACTGTAGGCCTATATTATCGGATTCTCCTTAACTGTATGTTATATGTTCCAAATGTGTTTGACTTGCGGTAATAATCGGAAAAAGCGCATAAAAGCCTTGTTGTATGAAACGCTGTAAACATGATTATTATAATTATTTAGTAATTTAGTGCAGTATTATTCTTGCGTAACATGACACCAGCTTTTGCAGCAAACAAGTAGAGCCTGGTTTTCTGTCTACACTGTCGTAAAGTTTTTTTCAGTGCAATCGTTGTACTTCCTGTATGGAAGCCAAGCTTAAGTTTGGTTTCCAGAAAATCGCTACACTTATCGCCGACAGATAGGTGACGCAGATTGGTCCGTCAAATATCGGAGCACTCCCAGTTTTGAGGACAGCTACATAGTGTAATGATTTCATTAAAATCACTGTGGTGACAGTGTAGCGATTTTATGGATGTTCGGCTTTAAGTGTTAAATGTTCGTTCCATTATTGCATATGTATAGCAAATACGACCTTATTGATCATATACAGATATACTGTTACTTTAGTATGTATCTCTTATTTAAGTTATTTATTTGCTTTAAAATTGAAAACTAGAATAAAAACAAGGAAAAACGATACCAGTAACTACATTTTTGTGCCTTTACTGTTAATTTGCTGTTAATTTAATTTAGGATTTTCGTAGTAAATCTGTAATTCAGCAAAAACTCAAGTGGGTACGGTACTTATTGATCTTTTTAAATGAGAATGAGATTCATTGTTTTACTTGGGCTTTTGCAGATGTAACTTCAATGCCCATCTGTTGATGTTACTGTAGTGCAACTGTGTAACAACAGATCAGGTGAAATAGTTAAGTTGCTTTGTTACGTGAGCGTTATATCTGATTTTTTTTGTATTTTGGCTTTTATATAGAAAAGATCAGAGGTCATCGCTACGTATGCGCTTTGTGGTTTCGCAAACATTGGCTCAATTGGGATCCAACTTGGTGGACTGACACCAATGGCACCATCTCGAAAAGCTGACTTTGCCACAGTTTCAATTCGCGCCCTCATCGCCGGAACAGTGGCTTGCTTTATGACGGCTTGTATTGCAGGTAAGAAGTTTAGCCACCACTTTAGAGTTCAATTATTCAATGACGAGTTAAAGTATATGAATATTCCCAGACCTCTTTTTTCCTTAAGAATTACCACTTTATATCATAGCTCACAGGATTGCAATATCAAAGCAGTGTGATTTGAGTGTAGTCGAGTCTTCTTCCCGCGAATGGGGTTGTACATTGGTGAAGATACTTGCATTTTCGCAACCATGACCCCATATACCTTCTTGATATAACAGAACACTCATTGAACTTACCTTTACTTACAGGAATACTATACGAGGAAATTGACGTTACGACGCTAATGATGAACGCAACGACAATTGCCCCAGTTACCTAACGCAATTGCTACTTTGAATCATAACGTAGATTGGAATGAATGGAATTCAAATGAACATTAAAATATAAACTGGTAACGGGAAATATAGTAGAACATGAAATACATCGATTAGGCTTGTAGTTTCAAATTCACAACGGTTTGTGGACTTGGATCCACCTACTTTGAGGCGCCCATACACAATTATGCAGTAGTTTCACTACAGGCCTATATTAGGTAGTGAAACTGATTTCGCGTGCCAATTATTAATATAGAAAAATGACTCCATAACATTGTGAATTGCGTAGAGGCCATTCATGCATGATGCGATAATACTGGTCATTATTATTAATAATAATAATTATTATTAATTGATATTGTTGTTGTTATTACTGTTGGTTTTTAGTTGTTATTGATATTGCTAATATTATATCATTAATTTGTCATCATTATTATTTATTACCATTATTACAAGAAGAAAATGTACAAATTATCGTAATTGTTAATCCATAAAGTTAACTAAGAACATAGTTTTAAAAATGTACATTCTCTATTTTAAGTAGTTAGTATTTATTGATTGATGTTTTTATATAATAAACATGAAGAATAATTAATATCAATGTCAACAAAACAATGTTTTTAATAAAAGGAACACGTTTATGTAATTGTCCAATATAGTTTCATTTTTAAGTTGATAGTCGGTGACTCTGGTCATTGTTGAACATGGCGTGAAGTAAAATAACGTTTTAAAAACAATAAAGGGGAAAAGCGTGCTTCTATGCCGCATGTTTTTTTTTCACATCAAGCACATTCAGCAATTAAAGGATGGAATGTTACATAATGTATCGACAGGACTTTGTACAACCATGCCATAGACTACTATACATAGTGAATTCGGCGCTCTACAGTTCGAATTCTCTAAATACAAAGAGTGTGCAGTTGCAGGGTGGGAGCAGTTTCCGAAATTCCTAGTAAATTAGAATTTAGTGGATTCACATTGATTAACATTTTATAGTTGAGGTTAAAGCGCTTTACAAAACACAGCTAGGCCTATATTTTGTCAGAAGAGCACCGGATGATTAAAGGTACCGTAAATTTTATAGTCATGGGTGAAAGGAAAAAGGCAGTTCGATAAATAACCTTGTTATCACTACTAAAAAAATGACCTGGCTTAGATCCTATGATTATCAAAAGCTGTTATATTGTATTACCTTTTTTTAAAAATAAATTCACTTGGATCCAAATATAATTTGTATGAAATTTTTCATTTGTGTTGATCCAGCAAAAAAAAACAAAAAAACAAAAAAACAAAAAAAAACAAAACAATAGTACTCACACTACGTTTCGCGAACGATCCGTTCGCTTTCTCAAGTAGACTGGTGATGTTATCGCCAGTCTGGTCTGACGTCACCTCGGTGTTTTTGAGGTCGAAGTGCATCGCTGCGTCGTCGACGAGCCCCCCCCCCTCTTAGTTTTGTGATCCAATATGATATCATCATAGATATGTGATAGAATGTGTCCTCCTTCATCTCTGTTCATCTGTTGTTTTTCTGATCCATAAAGATTCTCTGACTTTTCGTTCAAACAATGAGCTTTCTTCTTGTAATATTTTTATGTCCCAATTTGGAATATGATTTAGTTGTGTGGCATGATCGGTGATTGCAGATTTATTTAAAATTTTGGAATCGGACAACCTTGTTGATCTTGTTCGGATTCCTACTGTGTTCTTTTGAACATCTGTTATGATGTTCCTGAATCCTGGTTTTGAATGATCTTCCTGTTTCACCAATATATACTTTTCTGCAATTTAAGCATGATACTTGTTAAATGCAGCCACAAGTTTCCTCTTTTTATATTTTGTCTTTAGGGTTCGCGAAACGTAGTGTGAGTACTATTGTTTTTTTTTTTGGTTTTTTTTTGCTGGATCAACACAAATGAAAAATTTCATACACATTGTATTACCTGTTTAAACCTACACACTCGACTGGTTTTTGTCAGGGTAGATGCACTGTGTAGGCCTAAGTGCTTTTGAAAAGAAATATATAAAGTATTTGGGCACTCAAGTATTTGGGGAAAACACTGAAGGTTTTGCAATTGTTGTCAGATTTTCTTCATGTTTAAGTTTTCCAGTCTTCTGTTATCCTTCTTATATACAACCATTAACATGCTTAGCGATACAGGTGTTTAATGTAATGGTTATTAATGATTTTACCACGTCAGTTTATGCTCGTATTGCCGTTAGTGTACGATGGTGTACGTATTGTATTGAATTTAGGCAATAATTGGGCTAATTCGACTGGTTCATTTCGTTGAGTACGAATTTTCGTTGAGTAATATTTTCATTCGACCGGTTCGTAAAATAGACTTCGTTGACAACGAAAATTAACGTAACCAGAATCCGTAATCAGCGTTAAGTTATGTACGTGACCAAAAAAAGTATGGCCGATTGGTCAGTTTAGCAACAACATTTGCGTTAATATAATTTTAGATTAAATTTCAGAAAATAAAAATTACAACATTTGACCCCATTGAAGTCAAAACAATCCGATGTAGCCTTAATTACGCAGCGTGTATCGCGGTAACTATGCAGCCATTTTGTTTTGTCGAGTATTTTACCAGTTTCCTATTCGACATGGTTGTCTTCGTTAAGTAGGATTTTACCAAAGGGTGAGATTATAATGCTGAACTGGTTTCAGTGCAGGATCATTCCATTTAATATGCAGGGCCTCTTTAATTTTAGTTGAAAACTACTTTTAGCCTGATCAAATATTTTAAAACAATTGAAAATGCAATTTGTGTTCTTTTTTTAGATGTTATTTCTTTTCGTATATCAAGTGTTCTGATACAAAATTGGCATTACAGCCCTCGCACTAAATTTGTATACAGTATAATATTAGACCTGAGTCGCTTGGTAAATATTTGACTTTTTAAACGTCTTTCATCCAGATACTAGTGAGACTTCGTTGTTCAACTGCATGATTCCGATTTTTTTTCACTGCATCGTGGGGTAATCATAGCTCTATAATTTTTTTTTTTTTTTAGAACCAGAATTTATATATTGCCTATCACAATCCGTAGATTATGGAAGGCTATTATACAAGGCGCTGGAGTCATTATTGTCACTGGATACTGAGTTGGCAGACCCGCACATTGTGCAACTTTTTCTGCGCCTTTGGGGAGTATCCCTGGTCACTACTGCTTGTACGTCCACGACCCATAAATTCAATGCCATACCATCCTACCTGGCATCCCTTTATACTCCTGTGTGGAGAGAGGCAAACGTAAGTAAAGTGCCTTGGGATAGGCCTACTTTATGAATACACATGTCAGATCTGGTTCATTGCATCCAGGATGATTTGGTGTTGTTCAATAGACCTTTCCGCTTAGCTTGCCCTTTGACATTGGTTGTTAAGGTCCAAAATAAAGGATGGTTTAAACGTACGTGAACACGTGCGTTTGTGAGGACGAGCGCGTTTTTCTGGTCTTTTTCTGATTAGTCAGTAAACGTTTGACACGTCATGAATTGCCCATTGTTGTCACAGGTGTATTCTGCTGTAATCACAAACGTATAATTGTGTTAATAATGTACATAATGTTTTATGGTTATTCTTATCTTCTGACGGATCCATGCACTGGTGTAAACCTTGTTAGTCATAATGCTATAACTCTTTGAGTAATACTGGAGTTCATATTGCGCAATTATTGATTTGGTTTAAATTATGGGAGAGAGCATAATATTTCCATCAAGACGTGTCTAGTAACGCGAATTTACCAAATTATATTGTTTACCATTGTTCTTTAAATTATTTGTAAAACGTTATAATGAACGCTTCATCAATACCAAATTTAACTCATTTATACAATATATATATAATATATA